AATACTGTTTACATCAAGGCATGTATGTGATAGTCTGTACTGATACTTAGATCCATCCTCCTAGCATATTAGGGAATGGTGGGATTTAGGGAAAAAAAATAAATTCTAGGGATAAAATTGTAACTCAACTTTGCTCAGCTTTGCTGCTGGTATCTTCCATGATCAGGCTTTGATTCCTGGCTCCACGCTTTGGGAATAACCTGGTTTTGTGAGGACGGGCTGTGAACTCTGCTGAAACCAGCAGAGCTGGAAAGAGTGGCAGAGAGAAACCACCATGTATGGACTGTAAGCCCAACCCCAACCCTCACTAAAGAGAGTGAGGGTAACCTATGGTGATAAGAAGGGGCAGGGGGAAAAGGGAGTCTGGAGCGAACTTGATCCTGGAAAAGGGCAAGAGCAAATGTGTTTTGCCAACACGATTCAGTAATTAATTTACTGTCAATTAAAAAAAATATTTAAGTTAATTTTCCCCAGTCAAGTCTGTTTTGCCCACAATGGCAACTGGAAAGCCATCTCCCTATCTTTATTTAAACCTACAAGCTCTCTAATTCCTGTTCTTCCCAGTCTCTTCTGCAGTACCCCTGAGGAGGAGAGCAGGCAAGCAGCTGTGTGGGTCCTTGGCTGCCAGCCAAGCCTAACCCACCACAGCTAATAATACACAGATATTCACTGGACAGAATCCATCAGTCTTGAGAGGGCAGCTGGTTTTTTAAATGGCATTTCTTTTTGTTCCCTGTCAGCCTATAAGGCTGTTTTTCACAGCTCACAACCACTAGCTTTGCTCCTTATGTACCTCCATGCAGCAGGGTCCAAGGTTTCACTGAGCTGGGTATTTTTACATGATCACACCCAGAAACTGCTGCACGCCCACGTTACATATCCATGAGCTTTAATCAGAGATAAATGAAGCACAGAGACCAATCTCCAGCAAAACGATGACTCAGAGTATTTTCCTGCCCCTGGGCAGATCAGAATATCATGCTCAGTTCTGCTCCTGCCAAAAAAGCCTTTGGCAAAAGCCACAGTGCACATCAGAAGGTGCTAGTTGTTTTCATTACCTGGTATCAACACATAAACAAGTTTTCAAAAGGCTCCCTTACAGGAGGCAGCAGCTACACTGCTCTTTCCTGTCTATTCTCTGCTGCTCACAGCTGATAAATGCCCAGTTACTCCATGTCTGAAGTGTAATCTCAGGTGTAGCTTTGAACAAACTTCCATTTCCTGTCACTGGGGTCCTTGTGAGTCCTTTCTCTGGAGCCTTCTATCCCTGGATCCTGCTCTGAACCTTTAGTAGTTCCAGGACAAGACTCAGATTTTCTCCAGTGTTTTCTGCTAACGGCGCATCTCTTTTCACCTCAGTTAGCTCAAGAAAGGATGTTCTGCTGCTTGTTTAGGTATCAGAACTTTTGTTTATTTCTTCACATTCCTTTCCTTTCTTTCCCAAGATGAAAATTCAGGTTTTACCAAAAATAAACAAAATACACACACACAAAAGCCCAAAGTTACATGCATAAAAAAAGGTACTTTCCGTTGATCAACTTACTGTATGAATACTTTGTCTCTTTCTTAATCTCACCATTCTCTTCATATTCCCTGTAGAGAAAAGGGGTTGGGATGAGAACCAAAACAGTGCACACACCCCCCTGCTCAGGGCAGAATACACTTTACAAATGAAATGAACAGACATCACTGGCAACACAAACTTATCTTTACACATAACCTGACTCTTCTCTGAACTACGGGCTCTGAAGACAGAGATTCTCTGTACAAGGATAAAACTACACACAAATGCTGAACAGCCACAACCCGTTTATTCTCATGTTTCCAACAAGGAGGTGTTGACTAGATCAATGAGGAACAACCAGTATTAAAGACAGTGAGCTGACCTAAATCAAATGTTTTACAGATGTTGCACCATAAGCAAGCTAACGCTGAGAAACTGTTTTTCAAACCTTCACAACCTCTGACTTTGTGACATGAAAGACATTTGGAACATGAATTCTGTGCAGTCAGACCTACCTAAGAGCTAATAACTTTCATACTACTGTCAGTGGAATTATTAGTAATAGCAGAAACATTTTCCCTATTTGGTTTGCAACTACGAGCAGAGTAAACATCTCATTAGCTTTGTTAATTGCCTTGAAAAGGTACAAAGACTGCAATATTGCCTATGATGAGCTAACCCAAATGTTTCTCAAACAACTAAAATTTCCACTTTACTTTCAAATCTAGAAATTAATGTTGTTTTTTGATTATTAAGGTAGCAGAGTCTTATAAAAATCAAGAAATCGTGTCTCGGTTTAGTTAAGTACTTCAATTTGCACACATACAAAGTACTAAAGAAATTAAGAGATTGAATGAAGTTAAAAAAAAATTGTGAGGGGATCCTGTTAATACAGCAGTTTTATAAAGAATTTCTAAAGATTACTTTCACTTACTTGGAATCTTCATATTCTACCCACTGGTACATTTCCACGTTACGCTTAAGTTTGACAGCCTGGATGGAGAGCCCATAGCTGGGGTCAAACAAGGGCTGTGGAAAAGTTAAAGAAAACACAAGTCAGTAGAAATGCTGTACCTCACAAATTCAAACACACATTTGAATACAGGATAAAGTTTGGGTGGTAGCTGGCAATGCTTACAGAGGAGGAGAAAAGCTACACATCTCTCCTGGATATCAAACATGACTTTAATTGGCAAAGACTTTTCCTTCCCTCCAAGGTTGAAATACTCATATCTTCAAGGTACTATTTCATTTACCTTAGATGTACTCAGAGCACCAGACAAGTGCACCAGTCTCCCTTCATTCTGCTGCGAGATACTGTGGATGGTATCAAGAGGGACCACAAGAGAAAGTCCCTCATCAAGAGATTTGGCTGTCCTTAACGCTCGTCCCTGCAACCAAGAAAACCAAAATCAACTTGTGGGGAATCAATGGCACAGCAGTGTTTTGTGAAAAAGGTTAGATGACAACTAAACTGAGGACCACAAGGAATGCTGGCGTATTCAGCCTCAAGGCATATTTTCAAAACACACTTGTACTTCTCCACTCTCTCTGTGTCTGACATAGTTTGGGGCACTATTTCTTCCCCACACAGTAGGACCATTAACACTGACTAAGCTTCTCAAACATAAATTATTCCTACAATGGTTCAAAGCTCTTGACCTCTCTTGTTCATCATTCATGAGTAACTGCAAAAATGATGCAAATTATGGTCCCTTTTCCACAGATCCAGGAGACTTCCTGGCAGCGGTTTCCCCTGCCTTACCATGATGTCATGGTGTGCTTTTTTCTGCAAAGTCATGGAAATTGGGAGTAGTTCTTTTTCCTCATATAGAGGTACAAAAGTAAGTCTTAGGCAAAAATTCACAAAATTATGCTCCCCCACTCCAAAACTGCCAAAGCCTAAATGTTTGCAATGGTAGGGTTCTAGGATTCCCTGCTTATTCTTTTTTTTAACCTAAAACCAAGATATAAAATAACACTGAGAATAAATTAGTAAATAACACTCCTGGTTTTGCAGCACGGTGTATGAATTCCTTCAGCACAATTGTAACAACACTAGAAATTAGGGTCTTTTGTTATCCCAAGAAAAGAGAGAAGGCTGGAACGTGGCTGGCTCATGCAACTCCCTTACAATAATACCACAGACTGTTTCTGCATCAGTCTCTCATCTTCTGTCTCACCACACACGGCCACTGTCTCTACTACACTCAGTTCTACAGAAATACTATCTGCGGCCCTGTGATTTCACTCTTCTCTTATATCCCAAGCACCAAGTTGTCCAAACATAAATTCTTCTTCTCATGGATGAAGTAATAAAGTTGTGTACAAACACTGACAATATTTCACTTACTTCATTGGTAAAAAGAAGGTAGAAAGCCAAAAGAAATGTCACAAGTCCCATCAACATGCCACCAGAAGTCTCGCTGAGCCTCTCCAGGAACCCTGGTTTGGACTCACTTGTGATTTTAACATGCTCTTTTCTGCTGCCAGTGTCAGAGAACTGTTGGAGATAAACCAAAAATGCAATATTGATGTTAAAGGGGAAAGCATTCTGTTTCAAAACAAGTCTGTTTGTTTTGTTAATACCACTGCTCTACAGAGTAGCACCTCTTGCCTTGGACCAAAATTTTCCCACACTTATTAAATGACTCATCACACTTTTGAAATCAGAAATACAATCAATAAATAAAACTCCAGCCTGATGGAAAAAACCGATTTCTTTCACAGTGGTTCAAGCTTTCTCCAGTTTGTCTCTAGGTTCTGTATTTGGTGTCCACGCCCTGCATTCAGGCCGTGACAAACTGAGTAACAGTTCTGAATTCCAGACCAGCTAAAACATCGCTATAAATAACAAGTTACACTTCACCTCACCAGCGACAGAGCGCCCGCATACTTCAAAATAATTACATTCAGGGCAACAAAACCCGATAGCTTAAAACAAAACCGCTGCTGCTGTCCTGTGAGAGCCCAGGGGTTTATCTGTGCGTAGGCGGGCTGTGGGGGATTGCCAAGACGCAGCTTTAGATCAGAACACGCACGCAGCCAAAGCAGGGGATGGGGCTTCTCTCTGTCTCCTCTGCAGATGCCCGGGGGCTGTGACCTGTCCAGGCCTCTGGCCCCAGCCAGGGCACCTCGTGGGGGGAGCGGGCCGGCCCGGGCGGCCGGTGCGAGCAGCACTTACGTTCCTCGACATCTTGAGCCTGTTGATCCCTCCGGGTACCACCACACAGAGACCGCAAGAGCCGCGCACCGACAGCCGCGCCCTCCTCCGCCTCAGGGCTCTCCCGCCCCCGAGCCGCTCCCCGCCCGCAGCGGCGCACGCCGGGACGCGTAGTTCCCGCCGCGGCCGGGAAGCCCTTCCTCTCTCCCTGCCTCTCTCCCCGCCTTCCTCCCTCCTCCCGCGGGGCGGGCGGGAGCTGTAGTGCGGCGGGGCCGGGCCTGGCGGAGCCGCAGCTCCCTCCTCAGGAGGTGCGTCAGCGGCCGCTGGCGGGCAGCGAAGGCGCTTCCGGAGGCGGGAGGTCGCGGCGTGGAGCGGCGCTGCCCGGAGCGGTGCGGGCCGTGCGGGAGCGGCGGAGCGGCGGGGCCAGTGCGCGGCGCGCTGCGGGGGGAGGCACCGGCCGGCTCCGCCATGTCCTACTGCAGGCAGGAAGGTGCGCCCGCGTGTCCTCCTCAATGTCACCCCGCCGGGACGGGCTCGCCCTGAGGCGGCCGGGGCGGGGTGGGCGCACCGAGGGGTGACCGCCCGTTCGTGAGGGGAAGGCGCAGGCGGAGGGGGGAAGAGGCGCGCGAGCCGCCCTTCCCCTGGCGGAGGGCGGGAAGCGCGGCGGGGCCATGAGGCGGGGAGGGCGCCGAGCCCCGGGCTGGGAAGGGCCGGAGCGCGGCGGGAGAGCCCCGTAGGGACCGCGTTTTGCTGCGGAGTGCGGGCGGCTCCCTGTCCTGCAATGGCACCCGCCCGCGGGGGTTAAAGTTACTTCTTTTGGCGTAGCTTAGTGGCCAGAGGTGTCGCGTTTTGCCTTCTTAAGGAAAAGGCGGTAGATGGACGGGGGGGGGGGCAGAGCGCGAGCTTTATGTCTCTCTACCGTGTTGTTCGGGTTGTGGTATTTTTAAGGCTGGACCACTTCTTGCAATGGAAGATATATATCCCTATATATATATATATATAGGTATATATATATATCCATATATATATGGATATATATGTATGTGTGTTTATATCCCTGACCTCTTAAGTAATGCAAAGTGGATAAATGTAAAGTTTCAAACTGGGGAAAAAAAAAAAACAAAACCACAACCAAATCCCAAAGCCGTTCTGTAGTTCTAAATGCCATTTTTAAAATACAGACTTTTGCACAATGAATGCTGGTTATAAACCGCGGTGAGGCAGTCGTAACCTCTGGACCTCTTTTATGCTTTATGCTGTCCTTTATTTAGTTTTTTGAGATCTGTAAGCTACCTTATGCAACCCTACAAAATTACAGTGAACAGGGGTTAGAGTTCACTTGTTTCCAGTTCCATTTATATAAGTTAACATTCCATATTTTAAAGTTTGCTGGAGTACAATGCAGGGTTGCCAGAATGCTGTTTCCCTTTTTAAAAGGTTTTCGAGGTATTTGTTTCTCAGACATGTTCAAATGCATGTTGGTTACTGAGCAAAGTAAAGGAAGTTAGTGAACCTCTGCTGGCTGAGGTCACATGGAGGGGCCAGAAGATCCTAATTTCTAATGCGCCGAGTCACTGTAGTGACTTTATGAATTGGGAGAATTCTCGGGGACTTTAGCATTTTTTTCTGCTCAATGAACGCTCAGTTGGGCGTTGAGAAGAGTTTCAAGTAGCTGTTCTTTTCTGCTTGTGCCTGCCGTGGAGTGTCTGTTACAGAGTTGTTAGAAAACCACTCAGGTTTCCAGCCAACCCTCCCCACCCTGCAATGGAACTTTTTGGTTAAGTCAAGAGTGGCCCAAGAGCAGGAAGTATTCTCTTTTGGGTTTCTGTCCTTGGGAATGTTCACAGCACCTGTCAGTATAGTTAGTTCTACACCTTGATGGTTCTCTTCAATATTTAATTCAGATGATTACTGTAAAATATTACACTAGTCTTTAATGAAGAGCACTGTTATTAATAAGTATCCTATTGAACAGTTGTTTAGTGTGGTTTTTTCTTTCACTCTTTTTTTTTTTAGTCTAACTCCTTCATCTGTGTTAGTACTGGTAACAGGGTAGTTCGAGCTTGTTTTGAAACAGCTTTTTAATTTCAAAGTTCAGTGAACTGTATTGTGATCTGCAGCCATTACAGGACATTGCTGTGAGAACTGGAACTTTAGAATAGAATTTCAGTGTGTATGAGTTCCACTGAGCCAATAGATGATGGTTAAGTACAACAGAATTCAGTCACCATTAACATTAGTGCATCACGATGAATATCTCATTACCTCGTGGCCGTTTCGTAAATGACTCTCGTTCTGTCTCAGATTCATCTGAACTTCTTGTTTCCTGTGTGGTAGGAAAAGACAGAATTATATTTGCGACCAAGGAGGACCATGAGACACCGAGCAGTGCTGAGCTGGTTGCAGATGACCCAGATGACCCTTATGAAGAACAAGGTCAGTAGTGAGGAGAAGAATGGAAGTAGAGAGTGGTACATCACATGTAAAACCAATAAAAGAAAACAAACCTTATATGAATTAGGTAAAAATTATTAATTTTTAAGCACTGAGGGCAGCTGGTTATGCAGCACATAAACACCCAAACTTTTGGTAATTTTAACTGCCAAATAGGGCATCACAAATGACATGCTTTCCTTACAGTGGTTTTTTCCTACACTTGTAATGATTTTTTTGCAGTGACCTGTTCAAATAATCACTTGATGGCTTTTAGTCTTGGTTATTAGCCAGAAATATCCAGAAAAACCTTTTCCTTTTATTCTTTTATTAACAAAGTTAGAGCTGAATCAGTGGAAATGATGGTATTTTTTTCACTGTTTTCAGTGACACCACTGTCATTGATGTGAGTTGCTCACCTGCCTGTTTGCCCCTGAAATTGTGTAATTTGGTGATCTCTGGATATCTGATTTTAGGCCAGTTATGTCTGGCTAGTGCTGTACTATACTCATAGCAATATAATCAATAATTAGTAGTAATGTCTTTCAATGGTACATAACAGGTAAGTTCAAATTACTGAGTTTTCAACTGTAATAATCTTGCCTTGAAAAGATGGAAGTTTTCAGTGAAGATTGCAGGTCTTACATGCAGTAGATCTAACCTGCAAATAAAGATATAAGAAAGCAGAATACTTCTGAGACCAAGTCTCATAGTCTGGTTGCACAGAGTTTATTTTAGGTTGTTTCTAATGGGTAAATGATATAATCTTCCTATCATGATTATATATTCTTGCCCTAGGTTAATAATTATCATTAACATCTGCAAATTTAGATTATTTTTTTTCTGATTGCAGGTCTTTTAGCCTCTTCACTTTGTGTGAGGTGATTTCATTGGTTTCAGCCTCACTGAGATTGAAGTAAATTCTTCACTCTTCTTGAAATTTTGTTAGGAAGTGAAAGTTATGCCAGTGGCTCTGAGACCTTTAGAGGGCAGCATTTAAGCACAGTTTAGCAGCTGGAGCACACAGGGTTTCTGTTAATTGATACAGTATGTTGTGTAGTTTCAAGCACATCTTCCTGAGTCATTAAAATACCTTTTTTTCTACACAGATTTGTGGTGAAGGCTATTTAAAAAGTTCAGTTGCAGAAGGCTATTTAAAAAGTTCATTTTAGTATCTGTCAGGAATCCTACCTTGTGTTTTCAGGTAGGTTGCTTTGCTGGCTAAGACCCAATACCCAAACTGCCTATTTGGTGGAAACAGTCTATGCTTTGGTGTTTGTGATCGCCTTCACCATGGGAATGGTGCTTCAGCCCCTAAAGGTTTTGGCTAAAGACCCCTGCAGGCAATAAAATCAGTGTGACACTTGTATCTGTTACTGCCTTGACTAAAATGGAAGATGGAACCTAAAACTGATACACCTAAAGCAGTTCATCCTTAGCTGGCAAACAGTGTCTGAGGAGAGCTCATTTTGAGGAGTCCTTGTTCCTGTCAGTATTACATGTGGAAATGAAACAAAGTCTGAGTTTTTAATTCCTGTCTCAGGCAAATTTGAAATCCAGTATTGGTCTGTTAAGTGAAGAGTTAACAGCCTCTAATGATCAGATGGTAGAATTAAGTTCCCCATTCCTTTTCTGTGGCTTTCTGTTTCCTCTGAAAAACTGGAGACTGCTTGAAAAATAAAGCAAAGCTACTTTTTCTAGATATCACATCTGGAGAACATACAAACCCTTGGAGATTTTACTGTTACTGTTCAGTCACTTTATGTGGTGTACAGCTAAACAAAGTGGCCTGCTCTTTAGCTGAGTACATTCATGCTGCAGCACATGGATTCATATTGGCCTTGTAACTAAACGTCTGGTTTTGACACTGCCTTTTAAGAGGAAAGGGAAAGGTGTTTATCTCCAGTGGACATCACAGACATAGCATAATGGCAGACATACTACCAAAATTTGGAATGTGAACATAGCAAACAATTCTCTTTGTACATCTGAAGAGGGTTTTTTTTTTTTGTTCTGTCTCCTGTCTGCCCTAAATGACTCTTTTCCTAGTTGTGCACATAGCCCAAGTATATAATCTTGTGCCATATAATTGGGTAATAAACTGGTCAAAATTAAAAGAGCCACTTCCTTTTTGTTTGAATGCCACACTCATCGATTCCTTTTATGTGTATTTTGCTGGATATGGAAAGGCTGTGGTGAGGAGGAGAGGTTTTTTTTTCCTAGCAATCCTGCATTTATAGCACGTTAGGTCACTTGCTTCCTCAGCAATAGAGCAGAGAAGAAAGGGCAGAAAGCCAGAAGGTTGTTACATCAGGGACACCTTACAGTGACAATGTATGTCTGTGGGATTCACAATAACAAACTAAACTATATTTAAATTCTGTTAATAAGTTTGAGGAGGGCATGTTGTTGTTGGGTTTTGTTTGTTAGTTTGTTGAGGGTTTTTTAGCACGTGGTAAGTTACTGCCGTGCTTTACAGGTTCTCTGAAAACTCACTTGAGCGACCGAGGGCTACAGTGCATTAGATCAGAACAGAGAAACAATTGACATGTCACAGAATGTAGCTGCATCTAATGGGAGTGAAACCTGTGGGCAGAATGGTTTGGAATATGTTGAAGTGCAGCAGCTGTGGCTTGCGTGGCTTTTATTTAAGTGAAAATTGGAAAGAGATTTGCTGTACATAACGGAATGTGCAGGCTTTTCTGATTTAGCTTCTGCTGTGAGTAGAAGACTTGGTTTCCAGTGTTCAGATTCTGTTGTATAATTAACTGGAATGACTCTTCTCATCTTTTCTGCTGTGCCATACAGACCAGTCATATCTAGGAAAGAATAGATTCATTATACAGATCCACCATAATCTGCATTGTTTTCTAATACATCTGAAACTTTTGTTTAAAGTTTTGGGGTTTTGTGGTGGCCTTTTTCATATTTAAGATAAACACGTAGTTTGGTATTTTTTTTAAGTTCTCATTGTGCCCCAGATATTAACATACATTAGTCTTTGAGCAGTGTGCCTGAGTCAGTAGATCATTCAGGAAAACTTGAGTTGTGTTTCCCTCGGGAGAAAATAAATTTGTGTAGTATTCTTATTTCTATCAATATTTGTTGTTGTTGTATCACTTAGGAGATTTTGGTAAGCAAAATGTTAATGACTTGCTTTAAATCAAAAACATTGAAATTAAAGAAGCCATGTGAAATGGAAAGGCAGGCAAACCAGACAAAAGTTTAAGTTAGCATTCATATTGCAGTGGAGCTCACAGTTCACTGTATGTGCCTCTTGACAGCTGTGGCTGATGAAAACAAATTAAGAATTCACTGCAGCAGTTTTGAAATAGCTGCAGAATTCTTACTGTAAAGCTCATTTCTAGTCCTGTGTGTTGCAGATGGCAGAATTTAAACATGAAAGATCCCTGTTTTCTCTGAGATCTTTGCTGCCATAAGTTAGAATAATTTCTTATTAAGCTTATATGAAGAAGGCACTGATGAGTTTTATGCATGCAAAGTAATTTTTATTGGCATTACAGCTATGATGGGAAAGTTGGCTAAAAGCACTTGTGGAATTGGACCTCAGACACAGATTGTTGCTGGTCTTTCCCTTCTGTTTTTCCAGGCTTGTTCCTGTCATCTTATTTTAGAGGCAGTTTTAATGTGGTTTCTACAGAGGAGTGATGAAGTTATTTCTTTTAAGAAATAACTTGATGAGTGATCAGATGTACCAGACTGTTTTTGTGACTGGTGATGTCCCTTTCATTCCTGCTTCCCATGTGTCTGTCATCTTATACTGTGAATCACTGGCAGATAAACTTCTTACTGAAATGTTTGTCATATAACAGGAAAGAAACTTTTCTCAGAACAACAGTGGGACTTCATTACAGCAAGTCCAAAGACAAGTGTTGACAAAGATGCAGATGGACCTGCCTCCATCCACGATATTACCAGATTCCATGAGCCATGAGGGATAGATTATGTGATGTCAGCAATCGATTGTTAACACAAACCTGGATCTGCTGTGATGTAAACAGCGTTGTATTTTCTTCCTCAAGTGCAGGCTCAAGTAGATTACAACCCACTGAATCAGTGAGGTTCAGGTTGCATTTGAAACAAATTTCAATTCAGTTTTACTTTAAAATAGTAATGCTGTCTATTGCAGGCTTCTGATTCAGGGAGAGCGGCGGCTGAAATCTGTTTCCGATTTAATTGTGCTCTAAGCTGGCTGATACACTTACTCATTGACGTGTGAACTCTGCTGTGATTGTCAATGAGGAAATGCTTCCCTTATTCATCTGTATTTTTGCTTTGGTTTTTTTAAAGCATGATTTCTGTGCATATAACGTCTGAAAGTGATGCTATTTCAGTGATCAAATAGGTGCAAGTCAATGTTCTTGGGATATCATAGGATGTATTGTTTATGGGATAACTCTTATATTGTTAAAATTTGCATGCTTATGAGGCAGTTCTGGTTCTAAAAGGAGAAATCTATTTTAAGAGAATTATATTACAGTAATTTTATTGCTGTAGTGTCTTCAGGAACGTTTCAAAACTTTGTGTATTTTTGTCTTTTCAAAGTATTATAAAAATGGCTTTAAAATGACTGGTTGATGTTAGCAGGGAGGCATATAGGACTTCAAAATCTAGTTAACAGAGCAAGTTGTACTGTATGATTAACTTCTTTCTGCTTTATGTAGTCTTTGGCAATGAGGAATCTGGCACCAGCCACCCATTTTCTTGTCTCAGAAGTGCTGCTTTTCCTCCAGGCAGCTAGAGATGCCCTGCTGCTCTGGACTAGGTTTTATCTTCTCAGTAAAGTGATTATTAGAGATACTTTACAAAACTCTCTTGCCAAATAAAGCATGATCTCTGAAAAAAAGTCAATATTACTGTAGTTGACTAAATCACACTAAGGAGGTTTTTACTTTCTGTAATGAAAAACAAGTCTGAGCAACACCGAGATTTGACTGACTCAGTGTAATTTTCTGCTGAACTGCATTGGCTGAGTTAAAGCCATCATTGATCCACTGCAAATCAGAGTAAAATATTCCTTCTAATGTAGCAATAAATGATTGAGCTGCTTTTGCTGTACCAGTCTAAGATTCATGATATTGCAGCCTGGTGTCCAAGGAGTTGCACCTGGGAGAAAAACTGGAACTTCATGATCCCACAGGACAAAGGCAATAAACTGGTTTCTTGCATTCCATGGCAGTATTTTAGGTAACATTAAGTTTTATCAGGCCCTAAATATAATTTCATGTTTCAATCAGAATTAATGCTCTGCCAGTGGTATTTTAATACCCTCTTCTATAGGGAAAGTGCTTAAACTTCAAATTTATGCACATGCTGTCTGCTTCTGCAGAAACTCAACCTGGAGATGAAGTTAGGAAAGTCTACTAAAGAGGAGGAGAGCAAACTGTTCAAATGGAGCAGAAACCAGCTTGGATCATAGCACAGTATTGCTCTTGTTCTTCATAGATGAATGTACCTGCATGTGTGTTCATACAAGACAGAGAAAGAAAATGGAGATGTATTGCCTTAAAGAAATCTATTAAAGACTCTAGAAGCCCCCATGACCAACTGTGTTATATTGAATTTATAAAACTTAGAGAAAAGAAGTTCTCTGGCTTGCTCTTGACCTTCATTGTGCAAATCAGTTGATATCTAAAAGAACATAGACCCTTAAATCTTCACCTTGCCATTCCATCAGTGAAGTATTTCTGTGGTGGCTTTAACTGTTCCAGAGCAGAAGCTGTTCCAGTTTAGAGTCTTAAGTAAATCTTAACTCCCTTTCAGTTGTGATCTAAAGTGCAATTTGTTTTCTGGCAAGCAGACAGGCTGGCATGCTCTGTTCTCTGTTCCTTGTGTTCTGTGGCACATGATTTAATCTGCATTTTACAGATATACTGATTTTTATTGTTCTAATTGTGAGCTTCCAGTTCAAACTTGAAGGGGGAAAATTGTGGGTTAGTATTTCAGAGTTCATTAAAAACAAAGAAAAAAATCATCCATTCAATTTGATTTAAAAGATTTCTAGCCTTAATTTAAATTCTTATTACTTGTATGACATGATTTTAATGCTTTCTGTTGTTCCCTGACAGAGTCTGACGAGTGGATTGACTTGACTTCTATGTGTTTTGTAGCTCTCTTAGAATAGTCTCAGTGGCCTGTAGTCTAGAGAGAGACTTAATTCAGAGATGGATAGAGAACTAATTTCACTTGTGCTTATTAAAGGATTATACAGATCAGAGAGAGAAACAGACTGGCCGGGAAGTGAAAGGTGTTTACCACACTTAAAGCTACACAGCTAATGTGGCATTATGAGTACTTCAGTTCACCTGCAGCCTAGAAGCTGTCACTGAATTAAATCAGTTTTTGGAAGGAGCACTTAACTTTTCTTCTCTCTTGTTTGTTCAGGATTGATATTGCCCAACGGAGATATCAATTGGAATTGCCCGTGTCTGGGTGGAATGGCCAGTGGTCCCTGTGGGGAACAGTTCAAGTCAGCCTTTTCTTGTTTCCACTATAGCACAGAAGAAATAAAGGGATCGGACTGTGTGGACCAATTCCGTGCCATGCAGGAATGCATGCAAAAATACCCAGATCTTTACCCTCAAGAGGATGAAAATGAAGAGAAGTCCAGCAAAGATTTGGAAGCTGCTTCTGTGGAGGCCTCTGCTGCCAAAGAGGAGAAGGGATCTAGCTAATGAAGATGCAAGGAGGCTCTCGTCTCCATTTCTCATGTTCAGAGACATGGACTTTTGCAGTGTGTCTGTCTCCTGAGTAGTGAGGAAATGTTTCACCATGTTCTGTGCACTATATCATAGTAAATAATTTATTGGCGAAGGAGAAATCTCAGAGCTACAACCTTGCAAATAAATACTGCAGAAGGAGTGAGTGTGTGTATGTACTGTGTAACCTGCTACCAGACACAGTTAATACTTTAACAGCTGTTTTTTACCCTCAAGTTTTCCTTGAGTTTTGACTTGAATAATGTCTTGAAATACATAGCTTTCAGCTAAATTTCCACTGGTACACCAGGTCTGTCTTCATTTCAGTGTGTTCTGATCAATAGCTGCTCTTTTTGAATGTATTCTGTTCCATCAATAGAAACTGCATTAAATGATTGTTTTTCTTTAAAGAACTGTTTAGTTTGGTTTTTTTTTTTTTGCCAGAGTGATACAGGACATTGAAAATGGCATAAATCTAGAATTTCTCAAATAATTTCAAATGGTCCTAACTAGATTATGGTTGCATTTTAGTACTGGCATCAGATCAGGACTGCCAGAAAAATGTTGAAATGCACATCTTTGATTTGATTTACTTATTGTGATGGGTTTTGCATTTTTAAAAATAGTGTGTTGTGCAACTGATGATAAAGATGAATGGAAAGAATGTTGGTCACTAGCTTTATTTTTGCTCTGAAACCACAAGGTTTGGGTTTCTTCAGTACCTGCTCCTGCAATGTATAGATGGACACTTGTAAAATACTTTGAGAATACAATAAATTGTTACCTGGTGTAATGATCTCAAAATAGATACTGTGACTTAAATGCATATTAAAAAGCAAATACTTTTTACCTTCATTGGAAGCTCCTGTGTCTTTGTGGGACTTTTTTGTTTGGGTTTTTTTTTTGTTTTGGGGCAAGTTGTTGTAATTTTTGGTTTGGGGGTTTTGTTTGTTTGTTTTTGAGAACTGTTCTGTGCTGTAAGCGGACTTTGAATCAGTTTGTGGGTTGTACAGATCAGTTGCTCCAGCTTGTCAGATTTTTATTCTTATCTCATTCTTTTCTCCTCACCCCCAGTCAGGAAGGCATAAAAAACCTAAAACATTTAAGCATTTTCAGTAGTTATATTAGACTGGATTATGAACCAGCACTACAGAGAACCTGAACTGCTATTAAAATATTTAAAAATTACTTAAAAGGTACAAATAATTTAATAGTAATTCGCTACAGTTTAATACCTGTGGATAAGGGAATACTACACTGTTTGTCTTTCCTAGCAAAAAACATGGCCTGTGAGAATTGTTTTGTGAAAGAAATTGTACCTTTGGCTTCAGCAACTGTTCATTACAAAGCTGTTTGCTTTGGTTTTGTTTTTTTTCCCTCTCCTTATGTGTTGGTTATCTCAACCAAAGCATAAAAAGCTGTAGTGTCAGTAATGCAGCCCAGTCAGTCCAGCAGCATTTAAACACTTGCCTGTCTCTGTGGGCAGCAGTCTGAAGTGCTCAGCAACAGTACTTCCATACAGCTTTTTGGTATCTTCTTTGCATAAGTTATTTTGGTGCTACTGTTGATGTTTCTGAATATTTGAGGGGAATTTCTGTTAAGTTTTACAGTGTGTTTGAGCTGTTTGTATTGCAGCTGTTGGATCTTCCAAAAAAATTGTGGGCAGTTGAGCAGCTGACAAATACTCAGTTCTGAGGGCAGAGATAGCAGCTACTCTTGGCATCTCTTTGCTTTTCAAAGAAACAAAGTGTCACAGAACTTCTCAGTGTGACTCTCTCAGGCGTAGGAAGCCAAATGCCAAGTTAACCTGAGTAAATAGGCACAAAAGCAGCAGAGATAAACTTTGGCACTTAGGGAGTTGGACCAGGAAAATGGAATCTTAGGCAATAGATAAACACTGGGCTCCAAATAAAAAAAAATTCACATGCACCCAAGCTTTTGGTTGTTCAAATGGAAATCCAGTGCATTCTTTGTGAGGAAGCCAGAGCTGTTTGTGAAGGGGTGCTCTGTTCTAACAACGGGTTACCTCCTCTTTACCTCCTCTTTCTTTTTTGCTGTGCTTTTCTTTCCCACGTTGCCTCTGACATGTTTGAAGGTGTATTTAGGATGGATTTGCTTTTTTTTGACTGCTGTGGCTTGGTAACCTGTTGTGCTACATCCAGTACAAATGTGAAGTATGTGTAAGGGCCTTACATCAGAAACTGAAAAACACTATGTAATGTGTTTAAAGTGTTTTGAGAAAGGCAGTTATAGCTCTGATCCTGAAGAGTTCTTTGTCGAATTTTTTTTTGGTATGTAAACTAATGCAGTTGTCAGTGTATAGATAATGTAACTCCTGTTTCTGTTTCCCAGCATTGCTTTATTTGCATGATTTTCTTCTTTTAATTGCGTGCTCAAATCAACCAGTGGTTATTTTAATATATAATAAAGATGATAAAATGATCCTTGGCAACATGTGACAAACTTGTGAAATAAGCAGATGATAAAAAGTTGCATTTTTATTTTGTGGATAACAGAACTTAGAGCTGCGTATTGCGGTCTTGTTCTAATGTGATTCTTATTTCATATTTATATATTGGATTAATAATGTCTTGGTTCTCTCTCTGCCATCACTGAGCTACTGATTCTTGGAGAGAGAGTAGTAGATTCAAATGTTTTTGAGCAATTGTGTTGGTGGAGTTGTTTTGTAATAATTTTATACATGGTGTTATCAGGTACTGTTGTCAAGTCATGGGTGCTACTGTGTCAAGTCAAAAGTAGTCATTGCAGGGGGAGAAGGGAAGCTTCATTAGGAAAGAGTTGCTCTTTATTTAATTCTGTGCCTTTTATTTGATCTGTCTTATAAAAGCTGATGTGCTGAATGGGATTAAACGTTTATTAAAGTTTAGCTAAAAGGAACTGTTAATAATACATTAAGCACTTCTAGATGTACTACTATATTGCTATATAATAATTCAGTTTTTCAGTTTTAACCATTCTCCTTCAGTTTTTGCACACCATTGTCTTTCTGGTGCAGTGGTGAAACAGGCTGTGGTTTTGGAGGCTGGGCAGGACTGTTATCAGCTGGCTGGAATTCCCTGCTTGATGCAGGCCACAAATTCATATATAATTTGTGATAATTTGCTTGTAAGGATGGGCTTGTACCTGCAATCCACTTAAATTTAAATCACTGGTGCATGTATCACACCTCCTGATGCAGATAACGATTGCCTCTAAAACTCCTCTCTTCTAGGTGATTCTTTTAACATAAAATGTACTCTAAAATATAAACAAGTACTGAAAATTACTTAAAATTAGATTAAATTGCATTTTCAGAATTAGAAGTTACTGATTAATTTATTCTGCTGTTCTGTGCAGTACAATCTAAGTAGATTTCAGAGACCTGACTTGAGCTTTTATGTAGTAACTTTCCTAGAGTTACGAACTTACTTCAGATGTGAAAATAACCTTTTTTTTTCCTTCCCCTCTGCAACAGGAATGATGAACACGGTGGTGGCTAGAGGGAGACATTTATCTTGCAGTTCATTCTAAGGATCATTAGATCTGGGGATCTGGCAGGGCTATGTTGGGAACAAGATCTATATCCTATGCAGTTCTGACTGAGAATGCCCTTGTTAAACCTGACAGCGTTGTCTCCTGTTCATCTGAGGCACTTATCTGATCACACGTCAATGAACCTACTTTCCCATTCTTAGGGAAGTAAAAAAAGGATTATGTATGCTTCTTAGACTCTTGTTTTAACTCATTAAAGTTCTAGCAGTGTTATTGTGGGACAGAGTAGAGAAGCTACCAACAGTTTGTCATTTATTCTTAGTCAACTCTCTTCACTGTACATGATTTTAGTTTGTTGAACTTTCTGCAGTTGTTTTTCAACTGCTCTTAACCCCTCTGGAGCTGATGTTTTGTTAGTGATACTGGAACTTGAGAGAAGACCCACCCAGCAGAGGAAGAGTGGAGAAGTTACATTGAAGCAATGAATTTCACACCAATGTATTTGTTTCTACAAATGGCTTATTACCAATTGGTATTGATGATCTGTGAGCTGACAGCTCAGGAAGGCCCTACTATAGCCAGAACAAAGAGCACAGGAGGATTTGTGGTGATGGCACAGTGCAGATTAGCCCAGATGATGAATACTGATGTGAAGGGTACGTGGACATAGGATTTGTTGTACCAGATCTGGTGACAGGTTCAGTTGTTTATTTCTGAACATTACAAGTTCCTTACACTTCCTAAGAAGGTGAAAGCATCCCCTCACACTGCACTCGTTCCCTTCATAGGATGCTGTGTGGGAGAGGGGTGTTTGATTTCTACATCTGTAGTTCCTGACCTTTTTCCTGCTGTTATGAGTGTTCCTGCCTCCACACTGCTCTTTTTACTTTCTGTTTTGTCCCCTTCTCATGCATCCCCAAATACTGTATTGCTTCCTTTTCCCCTACAGTCCATCACATTTCTTCTTACAGGTATTGGCTCTGTTCCCTTACCTGGCTCAAGGGGCCATTTCTTCATTCTCCTTGCACTCTCCTAAAGAACCTAAACTAATGGACTAGGTTGGATCCAGTCTTCCAATTTGGCCCTGCGTGGAACAAGCAAAGGTTGACAGAATTTGATAGTCAGATCCCATGCTTGTTAGCATTTCCCATGCTGTGTGTGAAGCAGCTGATTTAGAATTAGTCCAGTTGATAACCATTATGTTTTATATTGGGAGTGTGTACAGATGTTATTATGAGCATTACCTGCACAGTTAATTAATGAAATATCCTCAGTGTTTGTTATTTTTCTCATAAAGGCCATGATACAGAAGAATTGGAGTTAATATTTTCAGAGCTAGACTCAGGATTTTTCAAAGGCAGAAGAGCCAAGGGCCAGAGAATCTGAGCTACCAGAATGTGTGTTGTACGTTGTCCCACCTTACTGACCATGAAAGCTCTACACCTGACATAAAGCTGCTATCTAGTGCCAATATACAGGAACAGACTCCTGGATTGGAATTCTCTTTGAAAACTCAGATCTGTGCATATGAAAGTGGTGCATCAGAATGTTTCTCATCGCTCAGTCACAAGACAAAAGAACAATGGCAATATTTATTGTGTCATTAATGTGTGAAGAGTGAAGACTCATTGCAGAGTTTTCACAACAGAACTTCAGAGCTAAGGTGAGAATTTGCACAGAGTTTGCACCTGTGTAAAGGGGATGTGCAGCTATAATGTAGAGTTGCAAAGGTAAGTCTCAGTAACGTACTGGCTTGATTTTAGGTGTGGAGACCATCACAAATAGACTTCTGTCTGCCTAAATCCTGGACATTTATAGGTGGGGCATGTTCCACCTACCTGTCATGCATTTCTGTTTTCATGCCTTGCATCCCACGAATCAGCTCTGTAAAGGATCAGCTTTAGGACCTGTTAAATATTTTTGTAACCCTCATTAAATCTCAGACCAGCAAAATTTCATGAGTGTATTTCTTATGGGAGTTAAGTACCTGCAATACCTACATGTAAGATTTTGCAGGTTTGGGGTTGGAATAGTTATTAACATGCCATTTACAAGAATTAACTGTACTTGTTTTGTGTTTTTCATCTGTGCACATTTTCATAGTAAATGCATGCTTTTTGGTAATGTGCTCAGGGGAAAACTAATGTATTATGGTTGCCTTATTAGAGAAATGCTTTTCTCCATTTGCCTGACACTGCTAACTCTTATCAAAGCAAGACCCTGATGTTTGGAGTATTTGTGGCTTATTAACTTGAATTAATGTGCATGTGGTTTGAGGATTGCATGGTTTAAAATTTTAAAAATAGATCCCAAACCTCACATCAGTTTAAGTATCTGAATATTTTTAATTGGAAGTTTTAATTAAAAAATAAAAAGTGCTACAACACATAACAAGGAACACACTAACTTTTCCACGTCTGGGGGACTTGAGGGAGCACATTATGTGAATTATATCAATTAAAAAGAAGCTTGCATCAAGCAGCATGGAAAAAAATTATGAGACATGCTAAATGCTACAGAGAAAACTTACTCTTTATAGCAGTGAGTCCCTCTCGGAGGAGCAGTGCACAAAGGTTGTGCATAGGTACATTCTCCTTCTTCACTGCTTGCCCAGAGCAGAAGCTGGAGAAGCATTATTAGCAATATGTCAGTATGTTGGAGTTAGGGCTCAGCACTCACAATGAGCATTTAATGAACTACTTTGATGCTTCAAGGATCCACACTGCCAGAAGGATCACGTATTCATGGACACATGTGCTGCACAGCTGTTACCGAGAGCGGCACTGACCTCTGCAATCCTGAGTTTGCTGCTTTCTGAACAGTTACATGTCCTGCTGCTTCAAGCTATCACCTGCCCTTTTAAGAAATTTTCCTCAGTTTTCCAGACTCCTCGTCTTGTGAGTAAAGGCTTTTATTTCATCCTTTTGCAAGATTTCCAAATGATAGATCATTGCTGCTTTTTGGTATGTGGTTGCTATACTTGTGAGCCACCTTGTCTGTTAGGGTGCTGTAGAGGGTTCATATGGCCTCCTGATAGACAGGCTCCAGTTCACACATTTTAAAAGAAGCTGCCCAGCCACTTTGTACTGACCAAATTCATCCTTTTTTTCCACAGTAGTATTCTTTGTATTACTGTGCCACCTAAGACACAAAGTCACAGGGAGGATCACAAGGATGGTGTACACAGATCCAATCTTTTTTGATACAGGGATACCATGCCTTCTATGGTAGTTCTTTTAATTTACCATGTATGACTTGCTGGCTTGTTCTGAGAAGTACATAACAGCTTCTGCAGGAGGACAGTTGCCATCTTGAACTGTTTCATACTCATTTCATTTCACTCCACGTACTAGTACACCAGAAAGTAACTTTTTTCCTTTCCAATGTCTAATAGCGATCAATTTAAACTTTCTCATCTCTTCTGTAAGCAGTAGCTGTTATAATTTGATCTGTGTGGTTCATTTCTATTTAGATTCTTATTTTCAGGCAGGCTCCCTGGACTGTAGCTCTGCAGAACAAAGACTGCATATAATAGCTCTGTGTGAGTTGAAACTTTGTTCTTTTATTTTTCTTCTCTGTGAACTCAGAGATGCCTGATTAGCAGAAGTAGCGACAGCAATAAAAAAGTCAACTTGCAGTCAGCTTTAGAGAAAAGTGTGTACATATTGCCTACTTTTGAGATATCTGAAATATAGGATATATTGATGTCTATCTTGTTTGCATACAAATGCAGTGATTAATGGCTACTAAGTAATCATTAATCACTGTGTTATCCTAGGCCCTGAGAGAACACACCAGGGTATCAATATTCTTGTTCCAGTTAGTATTTCTACTACCAGCAGCTAGTAATGCTTGTAAATGACCATGTCAGAAAATAATTTTCATCCACAGAGAGGAACTGTGCAGATGTTTACCCTCCCCACAAAATCACCAGTCTGGCACAAAAAGTGGAATAGGAGAGTTTGCAACATGGGATATCCTCATCATCATTAAATAAGATCCCCTGCAGGTAGCATGGCCTCTGTTGAAAAGAACATTCCTTAGTTTAGTTCTAAACACACTTGAATTTCATTTATTTTGAGAGGCCCTTGAGAACAGACTGTAAAATTCATGTTCATGTCTTTATTGATATTTTAAAGAGAACTAGTCAGTCTTTTTGTTGTGAGACAATTTCTGGAGGCAGGAAAGAAAGCAGTTGCTGTTCTAATTTCAGTAAACTGACATTTCAAATTCTGCCAAGTTCCTTGGTTAAAAAGTGTTTTATTGCATTAATTAAATGGCTTGTTGGAGATGCCACACTGCTGGATACCACTTTAGGTAACAACTAATAAATAATGAAGTGAAAGAAGGAAAGGAATGGAGGAGGGGAAATTTCCTGAAAAGGAAGGAGGAAGAAACACTGTTTATACACTGTTGGGGAAGAAAGTAGGGCTTTTCTTTTGTAAATATCTGCTTATAATCCATTTCCAAAACCAGCAATAAAGAGAATGAAAGAAGCTCTTTTTTCAGGTTCCAAGTAATAAGGAGAACAAACTGGTGGTCTAAGTTGTAGGCTGGGACTTCCATTTTTCTTCATTAGTATTGGGGTTTTCTAGATACTCCATGTGCCAGACAGTGCTAAATTAACACATCTTCTCTTACCTAGGAGGATTAAAAATTATAAACATGGAATTGAAATATGCAAAAGTAGCATGTGTGCTTGCTTTTTCTCTGTAACTCCCCTGAAAGAATACAGATTGATTCATTGTAATTTCTGCTTTGCTTGAAGACAGCGTGCTCCAACCAGCTTCCTTTAATCCTTAAACTTCATTGTGGGTCCTTCAACAGGGGACGCAGGTCTTTAAACTACAATTTCCTCAAAATGTTGTGTTAGGGAAGGATCTAAGTAGCTACCTCTTGCTTACTATAGGGTAGGGTGAAATTGGTTTAGAAAGAATACTTTTGCAGAACAGAACTAATTTTACCTGGAGTGCAGATATTAGCACTCCTGTACTTCTGTGGAGGGAGAAATAATTCTCAGGCACAACGGGAAGGAAGCACAACTTCAGTATCTTAGCCTAAGTGTGACCAAGAGAAATGAAGCACAATGAAAGCACTAAGTGCAATCAAAGGCCAGTGGTCTTGAGCACAGTTGGAATAGGCAGGTTGCTCTCACAGAACTGTATCTACCTCATTTAATACGTGGACCAGCCAATCCATTTACGTCCTGCTTTGTAACTTTCGTGGTGTTACAATCTCAACATTAGAGCAGCTGCTAGTTCCTCACGTTTTGACTTCTTCCTAGCATTGAGGCTTTCTTTGTGGTAATTGCTGTGAAATCTCTGTGGTGTTACAGACTAATGTACTACAGCAAAGAGCTGGATTTGGAATAGAGTTTGAACCCAGGTGGTTTCTGCAGCAGAGCTCAGCACTAAGCATTGGTGATAGCAAATACACATCTGTAAAGGACATTGTCCCAAGATAAATCACGTTGGTTTCTGTTCAGCAAAGGGATAATATTGTCTTCTAGAAAGCAACCTGTTATACTGGCATAATTGCAGTCTGATGTTAAATCAGTCTGAGCTCTTTTAAATACGTTTATTTGATATTCTTGTTTAGTATTATGCCACTTGTAAAGCTTAAAGAAATTGCTGCCTTTTAGTGGTCACTTATAAAGAAAACTATATCCCAGTAATGAATGCATTATGTAAGCAGTTTACACATATTAATGTCAGACTCTGACCTGAAGTATGGAAACACTAATCCACATCTTTAGTTTTGCCTTGTAAAATGATTCTCTGGGTGGAATCAGGTTCAAGTTAAGAACTGACTTGTAACCTATGTGTGATGCACTAAATAATTTTGTATGATAAGGCTGTGCACTTTTTGAAAAAAGTGGTCATGTCCTGAGTTTCCTGTCTAAGTATATGAAAGGAGAAGAGATGGCAAGTGTGCTTTCATCACTTCAGCTAGGAGCATGTTGAGTGAAAACACATGAACTAACTACACCTTTCACTGCAGTGTTACTAAAGGGCAAAGTCCAGCGCTGTAACTTCTGAAGCAGAAATTATTTGCACCCAGTTCGAAGAATATCTGATACTTGTTTTCCCAAATGGGCCTTCCAGGGCTTCACCAGGCTGTTCATGTTTACAAGGAGTTTGCCAGTCCTAGAGTCCTCCTGGCCTGCTATAAGGTAGTCGGTACCTAATTAAAAAGAAAAAAAAGCAGATGGTCTGATGTTCATAAGGAATTGTCACCACTGTTTACAGGGGAAGAAAAGCACCTGGTGAGCATTTTATCCTTACCAGGATTGAGAATGGGACATGTGCAGCCCCTGTTGGTCCAGGATTCTGGGTAAATGCTTCTGTTGCTCCGAGCAATTTTCACTTTGCCGGATTTCAGGACCTTCTTCACTTTCACAACAACTTCTGCATGGGTCCCTTTGTCATGAGCAGAGAGGATTCTTGCTTTTATCACTGTCCAGAGAGAGATCAACAATGACTTTTTAAATTTTGGTTTATTCTGCTAAAAGTTAGAATTTTAACACCTTGAAAGAAGACATGGTAAAAAAAACCCCAAAACTGCAGTTGTACCACATTTCTGAGTTGTACCACATTTCACTTGTGGTTCTTATAGATAAATTCAGAGAAGGGAAACTAGATTTTTCTTTTGAAGTAGATAACTCATCCTTTCACCATGTTATTTAGCAGCTATTTTTAATGGGCTGATGTCAAATACTTGGAAATCATAGGAAAGCACTTGTATGTATACATAAGGAAGGGTCAAAAACCCAGGTCAGCAGGTACCAGTCTGATTTTAAGTGCACTGATTATATTTTCCAGTTTGAAAACTTGTTGAGCTTTAACATCGGCCTCTCAAAAATTTTGTCCTGTGGGAAGGGACTACCTACTCTACAGGAAGGAAGTCAGGAAGTTTCCCATCAGACTTGCAGGCATGTCACATGACTAAAATTCCATGATTGCACAACAAACCAGAAAAGGCATTTTTGTTTTGTGGTCCAACATCTGGTTGCTATGACAAATTTCTGTTCCTTTTAATTTAATAGGATCCCATGACTTATTGGCAGGGTAGCCCCATCTAGATCAGCCCCACAATCATACTTTGTTGTGTCATGGCACAAGCACATAACACCTTTGGATCCCAGAGCTTTTCTTTCTTGCTTCTTGTGATGGCATGAACCAGGTGCTCATAAACAACAGTATTAAGTACATTCTTGGTAAATGAGCATGGCCATTTGAAGCTGCATAATGAGTGCAAAAACAATGGCAGTTTGGATGTGAGATTTTTGTCATCTATTCTTGATGTAGAGGACAATTGTTCCACTGAGCACCTCTCCTGCTGTAGAGGGAAGCTGACAGCTGGGAAGGAGACACCATGGAGCCTTGCATGAAAAATGCTTTTCAGTTCTGATCAGAAGTTGGACACCTCACTAGACGAAAAAGGCAGAAGAAATCCTACCTCTCATATCATGACTTAACCAATCCTGTTGTTTTTCATAACTATTGGCTAACAACATGCACAGAGAGAACATTGTGAAATTATCATACCTTGAGGGCATGTTACCCACTTACCATAGGCATATTTCATTTGGCAGAAGTCAGCGACGCTCCCAAGCACCTTTTCTTTGCACACACACTTTTCTAGCAGGGAAACACCAGAACACAAAAGGTTGGAGAAGAGCCAATAGAGAGAAAAGAAGAGCAAATGATCCTCAGTTATAAAGTTAGGTGTCTATAGCTCCCATAATCTGTATGGACCTTAAGAGAAAGTTTGAGAGCGAGGTCAGTTATTTGCAAATGTGTTTCTTGTTATATGATACAATAATTATTCTGAAATCTTATCAGTACTGTCAGGTAAAATGCAGATGCATGAGGTCTATTGTACAGTCAATGAACTGATCCTGATGAAGAGATTTGTAAGAATCAGATCCAGATGTAAATCATGCAAGCAATGATACCTTTGTCTGATCCCATGACCTAAGAAATGCTCATCCTTTCTGTATTAAGGCAATATCTGTCTCAGAAGAGTCAAGCCATGCAGTAGGTGCTGTTACCTCTGGGTCTTACCAAGCTACTGCTGCTGGTAAATGATGATCTTTATAGGGCAGGCAAAACTGAGAACTATTCAAGTATTAACGGTGCCACCTCATTCCTACTTTGTAACATGAACTGGATACAGTCTGCTTTACTTTCTCTCCTGAGCTGTTGTGCCTTGAGGAATCCCTTGTGTTCCACCCTAGGGGTGGTGCATTTCAGTGGTGGCTGACACGAGCTTTTTACAAAGAGCGTTTGAAATTCTGAAAGGAACCAAATGCTTGAGAAGAAGCTGCATAAAATCCTAAGCATTATGACTATAATTGTGACAACAAAAGGAGAGTATTTTTTCCACACAATCTTATTCGTGACTTAGTGGTTTCTAAAACCAAACTCGGGTCCTACAGTTAGTTTGGAAAATAATGATGCAAGTGTGATGATAGCCTACAAACTCAGATTAGTGTAGGTTGCCAGCAGATGGGGAACAGACAAGCTGGAGATGAGTGGGTGGGTTTGAGTAAGGATGGAGAAAGAACTGGCACTGAGTGAAGTCAGTAAATGTTCCCGGACTCTAGGCTGTACCTGGGTGCCTCAGTGCAGAAAATCCCTGCTCGTGGTCGTTCCATTTCCACTCCTCTTCACTCTCATTGGTTGGTGACTGGACAAGGTCAGGGATTCGTCCCCCAATGGGGATGTTAAAGAATGGTTCACTGTCATAGCTGGGGGACACGTAAACAGAAGAATTGGTTAGGACACGACATAGGTGGGAAGCAGGTGTTTGCAGCACATGGCTGTATCCAGACAGATGAGCTTGCTTTCTTCAGGCTGGGAGCACAAATAAGAGCAAGACTTCATGCCAGACAGGGATCACAAGACCTAGGCTTTTATTTAGGCCTTACTACTACTGACTTAGTATTTTTTAAAGTACCTATAAAGTGTGCCTTTTTTGCCTTTTGTTTGTTTTTAGAGAATTATGGAACTCGAAGTTAGTGACCACTTGATGTCACAAGGACCTGACAACAGCTGTAGGACCCATAGAACTGCAGTAGCTCAACAAATCACAGGATTTCTGTACTGATTAATACCCATCTGGGGTACAGATGCCTGCCCTCTAGAAACAAGATGGAGACTTTGTCATTCATTTTATCCTGGGCACAGATGAGAGGCAAGATCTTCAGACTCTTCCATCTATTTCCAAGGCAAACAGGTGTATTTACAGATGGTATACATATCATGGAGTTGTGGAATTGCCTATTATTTACTGCAAAGAGTCATGATTTCAAGATTGCTTTGGATAATACACTGGTCTTAGTTGTGTCAGACACACAATGTCATCTAAGAAGCCTTTTGTGATTTACAGCCACCTTTTCAAATGATCGTGCACCCTCCAAACAAATACTGCTGCAGTATTTGTTAGTCTTTGCTTCATTTCACAGAGAACCCAAAGGAGGGTTTCTTTACCTGTTGAAGCAGCGTCCAGTGTGCTGGTCACAGTCTCTGGCGCAGTCACAGGGGCGACAGCCATTTTCTCCGAAGCCCCAGTAGCCCACGAGGCACCTGTCGCAGTTGGGACCCGCCACGCCTGGTTTGCAGTAGCAGAATCCCGTCCGGGGGTGGCACCTCCAGCTGCTGCTGAACGTTGTGTTGGCTGAACCCGTGGGCTGACAGGCACAGGCTGTGGAGACAGGGCAGGAGGTGTCACAGCGTGTGCCGAGGGGTCATCTGGTTAAGTGGCATTTCCACAAGGCTGATAAACTTCTACCCTCTTCCTCGTGCTCAGTGGTTTTAAGTCAGAACTGGTAAATATTGCATTTTAGCCTACGTTTGCAGTATTATTTTTGCTTCTTTTTAACTTGTTAAACACAGCAAAACAAGTACAACTGGGAGCATTTATGTGTGAAAGTCACTTCTCTGCTACACAAACCTTGACCATACAGGGTTTTGAAGTGGTACCAGGAAGACTCCCTTGTGTGTTTATTTTTAAAGGGGCTTGAAGGTCATTCACTTTTAAAGTGTTTTGCAAAAAGATTCACTAGTATAGACAGGGTAAAAAATTATAGGTATTGCCTACATCACCTTTCCTGTAAACACAGAGATCACAAAACTACTCTTTCCTCTGGGGCAGATGCAGCTTATAGAGGTGGTTCAGATGACCTGAAACATATTTTCGATTTCTGCCTCCAAAGATTTCTGCACAAATTTCCTACAGTGCAAGTTTTAAGGGACACATCTCACCCTGCAGTGCTGTATGTGTGTAAAGAAGCTGATGAATTTTTTTTTTTTTTTTTTACAAATACATGAGCAGATTTTTTACAGGGAAAGCAAACAGAATTAGAGAAGACCTCTAAACTTGCTAAACTTATTTTGCATGTAGCTGAAGATGAGCAAAAATGAGGAAAACCTCCCCCAAAGCTTTCTAACGCTGTTGCCAGTTTGGCACCAACCTGGCAACTCAAGTTAACTTGGCAGTAATTACAGCTCCTGTGGGCAACTCTGCCTCCACAGACAATAAATTGTCATTATTCCACACCATTCAGACATTCCAGATGTGGCAGCATCAGGGAGTGATACACAGAGAGTGTTGCAAAGCCAGCACAGTTGACTCCTCTCAATCAAGGCAGAAGCTGAGATGGTCAAGCCTAGTGCCAAGAGCTCTGTGGAGGTTAAATACAAGCAATAAACAAACCTACTCATTTCTGGTATTCAAACAAGTTGATTAAAATGACAACAGAGCTGAACTCCAGGCCTTCATACTTCAGATCTTTTTTGTATTAACAAAGCAGCATGCCCTGGCTTTTGCTTGTAGCACAAACTGAAAAGGTAATGCATCACTACTTCATCCATCTGGAAGAGGGCAGAAATAAAAGTCTAGTGGCTAAGACCTGCTTTAACAGAGATTTTCAGTTAAATGTTGGACATCCAACACGTTTACATAGCTTGGATCAGGGGACAGCGTTTTGGATACTTATCTGACCCAAACATGATCTCCAAAGCTTTTGAAGTTTGCCCATCGTGGCTTCTGATCAAACTGCTTTTCTTCGTGATCTCACAGATAAGAGACCAAATGAACACTCTGATTCCACACATCATTTTCCAAGGGGAAGGGACAAGTATGTGAGTTGAAAGTATAGCAGGGACAGAATTCACTTTCATCTCCAACCTCATATTTGATACTTAAGAAAATATCTTTTGAAAATTATACAAGAAAGAGGGTGAGCAATTTTGTATTTCTCTTGTGACCTGCTTACCCGTACAGTTATTTTTTCCCCCATGCCCTGTGTTCTTTATGCAAATAACTTCAATAATGTTATTACACTGCTGTAGACAGATCTTGGTCTGTTGTTTTCAGGGGACACTGGCACAATAGCCTAAGGACAGAAAGTAAGCGTGCTGTCGTGGGCAGTGTGCTCAGCACAATGAGCTGGTTGGCGGACGGCAGCAGCTCGCCTGTTTGCCACAAAGCAGTCTTGACTTTGGGAGCAAACCCAAGGCTTGTGCTGTCAGTTCTGGAGAGCAGGTGTAACACTGAAGTGCTCATTAGCACTGACAGTTTCAAAGGCAAGTTATGATTTTTTGCCCCTAAATTTGATTTATTTTTTTTTTGCCCTGATTTTTGCAGGGCCAACTACATCACTGTAGAAAAAAAGACATTTAGCTTGTCAGTCACTGAAAAAAATGAATGCCGTAGATTTGGGGATAAGGAGGGGAAACATACCCTTCCTTTACTGCAGATAAGTCTGAGTCACTAGGATTAAGAGTTTGCCAACATCTGGGTTGGCTTGAATTCAGGTTTGTTTTTGCTGTATTATCTCTATATGTAGCATCTACCTGTGGAGTTTTCACCTAAATCATCTTATATTTCTTGAACTTCTGGGTCTTTATTCCTATCTTATTTCCAGTTTTCAGGTTTCATCAGTTAGTCACATAACAGATGGGTAAATCATTTACATCATTAGACTACCTATCCCCAACTGAGACTGGATCCTGATTCAGGAAGATGAGACTGACTCCCATCCTGTCCCTGAGGGAAAATATTACAACACAGTGACTGACAGCATTGGTGAAAGCTGATGAGGAGGTTGGAAAAAAGGGCCTTTTTTTATTTTGAGGCTACAGTTCAGAAAACCTAATGTTCCCAGATGAACTGTGGGGCATATTCTCCAGTTAGAAACTGGGACAACTTCTGGTGGATCAGAAAGCTGAATCAATACGTGTACAACACTTTCAGATGAGTTATACAAGTGGCTTGCAAACGCTTTACTCAGTCTGTGTTTATTTAGCATTTCAGCTTGGGTGGGTACATTGTCTGGCTTCCAGAGTATTACAGCCAAAATCCCAGTTGTGCATCTAAGGTAACTCCTAAAATAAGAGCCCACATGTCACATGCTGAAAGGGCAGCTGTGGATGACTGGGTTTTATCTGCTTAACAGTACCATGGATTTGCAAATAAACCTCACAATTAAAGAAACACAAAAGCAAGTTGCCAGAACCTCACCCTTTTACATTTTTCGATATTTGACAACACTTTTCCTGCAGATTTTTTTCTTCTTTTCTCTTGGCAAACCCTAGTTTTCTCTCCGTCCGCCTCTCCCATCTAACAAAACACCAGCCGACGTGACAATGGCCTTGTTTGTCAAAGGCATCATCAATTATGTTAGGGACGGTGTGCAGACAGTTCTGGCTCAGAGTTGGCTGGTTTATTTGGGTTCTCCCCTTGACAGTAGCATAGTGAAAAATATTATCATTTGACTTCAGAATCGGGTATTGGTCACAAAGTGTCACAAAGTATATCCTCTGGTCTTTTAGTCTCACTCCCATACTAAGTTTGTTTTGTCAAAAAGTACTGTAAAAAGGAGGAGACAAAAAATAATGAAAAATGAATAATTCATACAGCAGCCTCCACTCAAGTCCTCAATAAATCTGTCTGCCCTCAGCACAGCTGTCTTCTCCATTTAATTAGACACAGATGTAAAATATAATATTGGTTGTAACAATATGGTCCCAACTTACAGGAAAACAGCAGGTGCTTAAGTAATTCGATGGCCTTTGAGGTATCTTGCCTTAAACTTTGTCTAATACTAATGCATAAGATATGAGCAGACACTGGCTATTTGATAAAAAAAAAAAACCAGGCAAAATTAAAAAAAAGGCAAAGTCTTTTGAATCTGATATATATACATGTGCATCTTCAGAGCATTTTTAGGCAATTTTTAAAGCAAGTCAGGTGTGGGGATTGATTCTGCCAATGTTCTTTCTTAAATGAAGGAAATAAGATAGCTCTGTGTGTGGTCAGGGCTGATTAAGACAGACTGAACCAAGATGTGATGGGGCCTTTGTGATATTAGAATTAAAAGTTCACTCCCTCTGCTCAGAAGTAAAGGATGAGAAGCAGAGCCTTTCAGACCATGTGTGCGTGCATGTGCATCTGTGCACATTTTAATTTTCACCCCTTGTTCTCCAAGTAAAAAAGCTTGTTTTCCTGGAGTCCCTTTTAAATGGGTCTACATGCCTGCATTATTTTTAAGCTAAGCAAAGGGTGAGTACAAAAGATGGTGCCATTTCAGAAGGATCCCTTAAGCCTCAGAATAAGCCACAGGAAAGAGGCAAGGATACAGCAGCTTTGCTAACCATTGGTTAGGAAACGATTAGGCTTCTGAGTCAAAGCTTCCGTACAAGTCTATATCCAAACTGCTTAATCCTGTGTTGTCACCCCCAATAATAGGCAGGTGTGTGCCTTGCTCTGGGGCTCTTTTCATGCCTTTTTCTTTTTTTTCTAATGTAGATCTAAGCAGTGTCAAAACAAGGCTCTGCACATGACCCAGCTCTCATTCATCTCAGCTGCTAGGAACAGGAGAAGCAAAGGGATCAGAGGCAGGCCACCTCTACAGACAAAAAAGAATAGCAGATTCACACTTACATATCAAATTTCAACAGATTTTTTTTTTTCCAAGGGAATGTCTTTGCAGTCTCACATTGGAAGGTCAGCTAAGGGTGGTTTAGATAGTACCAGGAGATCCAATTGTTATAGAACTTTTTTTTTTTTTCCTAGCAGATTAAGAGAGAATGCTATTCATTATTATGACTAATGCTTAAAGACTCTTTCTGGGCCTGGGCAGTGTCCTGTTAACTTTCTGGGAGCCTGAGGGGGATGTCACAGCTGAACCTAGACTTTGCTCTGGATGGCAGAGCACTCTTCAAGCGTGCTTTCTCAAAGGGATTAGCACAGCATTTCATTCAGCTTTTTCATCAGATTTCCTTTCCCAGCTCAGTATCTACTGTACACAAGGGTCAAGTTTGATCTCCCATTGAGGTTTTTTTTTTTCCCTCTGAGTTCAAAATTGGAAGCTGAGCACCAGGTTGCTCTCACTAAAACCATCAATTCAGTCTGCTGTTTGCAGTTTATTACTGCTTTTCAGCACTTGCTCAGTGGGTGGGTTTTCCATTTGGTGTTCTTAGTCTGAGTCTGTTTGCATGATTTTCTCAAAGTGGGATGATGCCTTGGAATTGGTACATTTAAATCCTAAAAACATTCCAGTCCAGAAGTAGCAACTCTTCAATTTATAATCAGCAGGCTGAAGCATGAGAAAAATGTACCTGGTGGTCTGATTGTCAAATTTCTTATGCATTAGCAATGCTCAAAGACAGTAGCTGTTTTTTTACTGGGTAACTGAAGTTGTTTTTTAGGGTCACACAACCTGAACAACGTAGACCAAACCAGATTAGGTTTACTAGCAATGGAAGTTTTGCAACCTAAGGGATGGAGAAGAGGGTCTCTCTCTTACATCCTGCATGAGGCTTTTCAGTTTAATGTCAGCTCTAGGCATTTGGACATGATGATGGTCCTGGAGGTGAAACCTTCCCTCTGTCACATTGAACCTGTTCTAACCAAAACAGCTCTGCCTGTCTCCATTGGTGTTTCTGGTTTTGCTGTCACATGATAACCAAAGTAGTGAAACATTCCCTGAAAATTCTCTGTAGAAGTACAGCATAACATGAAGTTCACATTGACACACTGCCTGCAAAGCACATAGGGAAGTGTTGGGGGTCAGGACTTCCATCATACAAAATAATACCCTATTAAGCTAGTTTATTGAGTCTTATTGTGGGAATTCTCTTCTTCATCTCAAATAAAAGGGAAAAGGTACAGATTAACCACCTCTCTCCCAGGTTTCTCTTAACTGTAGTTATATCTAGGGTACTTTCTATTCCCACAGAGTCACAAGCACCAATCACACACTGACAGTCTCTGGAGTGAACTGCATACCTTGATATGGCAAGCATGCCTTCACACACCTGGGAAAGGTTCTATTGACGTGAATCGTGCACAGATAGGGTTGTACTCAGCTCTGCAATAATGCTGAATCAACCTATTTAGATGCATCTCAAGCAACAGAAACTCTAGTGCAGGCTAGTGATCCAGAGCAGCTCTTAAGTCAAGGAAATAGATATGCTTTAGAGGGCAATTCAGTTCATTTATCTCAGACATCTACCTTAGACTGCAATAAATAATTCCCCAGAGGTCCCCCTGTTTGTCCACTGACAGTACAGTGAGCCTAGAAAAGACATATAACTTTCAGGTGACTAAAGCAGGATGGCAGCTATCTAGGCATGAACATGCAAGTCAGAGTGGAGACAATTGTACTTGGGGGCCTTCTGCTGGCAGCAGCATGTTCCCAGGTGAAAAGAGCATTATTGTGCTTGACTGGCATGACAGGAATAAAGCTCTTTCAACAAGGTAAATTTCTGAACAGTTTTTCTTTTGCTATGCAGAGTATTGGCAGGGAGTACTGAGAGCCCTGTAACCAGAGCAGACAAAAGAGGCAGAGGTAGAGTCAAGGTCTGATTTCATCCAGGCAGACTGTTCTAGGGTTTCCACACAGATAGGCTGTATTTTCAAACAGTTTTTCCCTCTTTGCTGCTCTTCAGTGCTCCTTGACTTTAACAGTTATCTAGTATTACACACGATGCTGGTTCCTGCACCGTCACCCTGCTGCTCGATACAAGAGTTCATACACACATTCTTTCAGGTACTAGGAGATTGAAAGCTAATCTTCTGGCACAACAATTTGTTCTCATTACAATATTTCCCTGTAGCAAATCTGTTCAGAGTAGAAACAGGACTAGAAAGGGGCCACCACAGAACACTGAGGGATACAGGGTGAGTCAGATAAGCTCACCCTCAGCCCTGTGTGCCATTCAGTGTTCTGTGGTGAGCATCGTGAAAGTGAAAAGAAAGGGTTGTGTGGAAGCAGTCTGGGCTGTCACTAAGTTCCAACAGGAAGAATGCAAAAGAGCAGAAGCATTGGATATGTTAGGCACAGAAAGTTTAACCAATATCACAAGCCACACAGTCTGAGGCAGAGGAGTGTTTGTAACCTGAGTGTAAAGAGGAATCATGTTGAAGAACATTAAAAGGGTGAGGAAAGCTTTAAAAGCTCATGATGTCAGTGGGCATGAGGTTAGATGACAGAGGATGAAGTTCTCTGTGCTAGCAACTGATGTCTGAGCTATGGGGAAGGAAAACTATACAAAGGAGAAAAAGAAATTATGTATACTATTGGAAGTAGCAACCTCCCAAATAGATGCCAGATGGAATCAGATGTGTGAAGCCTGGCAGGATATTCAGGAAATGTTTACACTAAGTAAGGGAGATTTGGGCTGTTTTCTAGACTGGTTGGGTGCAAAGTACCTTGATCCAGAGTTTGTACACCCTCTGTGTGCAACCAGTCACTTCCTAACGTATTCTGCTGAAGTGTTAATGATGCAATTAATTTGGGCAGATCACACCATAATACAGCTGTGGAATCCAGAGATAAGTCTAACTGAGCTCTCATGTATTTGTTTCCAAGTTAATATGCATGGTCCTATGCTTCCTGCATCTCCTATTGTATATATTTATGTGTACTGATGTTACACAATCCAATGGAATTTAACAGTAACTTGCACATAGGCACATGCAGTCTTGAGAGGTTCAGAAAAAAACCCAGGTAAATAAAACATGCCTCAAGAAAAGGGGAACCATATCAATTTAAACCTAAACACAAGAATGTACCTTTCCCCAGAAGGCAATGCATTATTATCACAAAAAAAAAAAAAAAGTGTGATACCAGGGGGAGAAATAGACACAAAAAAAATCAGTATAATCATCTTTGATCAAAAATCTGTAGGTTAGGAAAAGAATACAAAGAAAAACTAGTAATACTCATGAGTTACCTCTATGGGAGTTATTGATTCTATAGAAATTATTTGTTTCATTCTTTTAATGATTCTTGCACCATTCATTTGTCTTTACCACACATAACATGGTCACTCACGTTTGCAGACCTCTGCAGAGGACATGGGTTTCCCCCTGTCTCGGTAATACCCTGGTTTGCACCTTTGGCACCGATGTCCCTCTGTGTTGTGTTTGCAGTTGTCACAGACTCCCCCACTGCGCTTTCCTGATGCCAACCAAACACTCAGGTCAAAGTGGCAGCTCTCGGCGTGGTTGTGACAGCGACACTCTGGTGGGGACAGGAGAATATCCTTCAAGTTTGTATAACAGACACAGCAATACTGGTCAAATGATATCATTTTCCAAACCAACCTGATGGTATCTTAAACCCTGCTAGAACCTCAAATGTGAGGAGCCATAGCTGCATGAAAACTAAATTTCTGGCTTGTAAATTCTGCTTCCCAATAGCCCCAGTGGGTCAGCTGCAGAAACACAACGTACATACTGAAGCTCTCCATCAATGACCAGCAATTTATCCCCAGTTTATGTAATTGCATCATTAGTGTAAATCCATAGAAATCTTTGTTGGGGAGCTTTGCCTGCTGGCATGGCGAGTGCTCATCCTGAAAGCCTGGATCAGTAACCTCCCTTCCACTTACTTCTGCATTCATTTGGGGCCCCTGTTTTTCCATCTCCTGGCTTCCAAGGCTGATCATTGTACAGGGGAGCACATTTCTCACAGTGGTCTCCTGCTGTGTTATGCCTGCAGACACACTTCCCGTGGACCTGTCAGGGAAAAGAGAATACAGTTAAATAGCTACAAGCAAGAACATGGTGGAGTCCCCAACAGCTTCATGAGGAGGTGGGACTTCTCCTGCACAACTCACACAGCTGTCTGGCTCTCTTAGGAAACCCGCAGAGCCTGGAGCTTAAACATGTAGCATTATCTTTTTTTAATTTCATTTTTAATCATGGAAATACTCCATTATATGTCAGATTTTGGAACTGGGTATTCACACCAGAAACCTGATCTTGGAAACTGAGCTACTCCAGATTCAAACAGAAAGTTACTATTGAAACTGGTTCTGTGGTCATTTCACCCACCAGGAATATAACAGCCAGTTCCACTATACACTGTAATTTGGTGCACAAGATTCTGTAGTACTGAGCCACATTCAAGAAGGGCCTTACAGGAGTGTTTTTATGTTGTTGTTTGGGTTTGTTGTGTTGAGTTTTTTGGATAAAGAAACAGGATTCCAATATCTGTTTGCAATGCTTCAGAGAAAGGATTTCCCAGATAAGTTGAGGAAATACCCAGTATAGGGAGTGGGAGAAAGGGAAAGGTGGTACTATACATCATGTTCTACCCATTGCAAGAGAAGCTACTAATCAGTGGTGTGTATCTCACATGCAAGGAGACACTTGTACTAGAGCAGGAAATGCACAGAAACCAGGGACTAGACCTCCGTGGGATGTTGAGGATGCTGAGCTCTGTAAGCACCAGCACAGCTCTGACCCACTGCACATTACACAAAAAACCAGAGGCTGATTTTCATTTTGACTGGGGTGAGAATTGATTCTAATCCTTTAATCTCACAAGTAATCTGAGTTACGGTTTTCCACAGCCTTTCCTGAAAGTCAGACTCTCCCTTTGCAGTATCTGACAGAGCAGGTAGTTTGGGATCAAGAGAGAAGCGTTCAAAAAAAGCAGTTGCATGAATGTACTCCCCCACCCCCAAACTCATGGTGCCTGCAGCAATTTGCTCTCCGCTCCCCTGGTTTCTAATCCTCCCAGAGCAGAAATGTGATGTAGCAAGCAGAGGGATAGGCTGCAGCTGATGCCATCGCCCCTCCATGGCCAGCTGGCAGGTTTGCTGCCTCCTCACGGAACACTGAGCACAGACTTCAGGGTGTGCGTTTGTCTGTCAGAGCTCAGCACCAGCAAACCTCAGGGGGATACAGCATGAAACACACAACGTGATGCCTCTCCAGACCTTTGCACAGGAAAGTCATCCACTTTCAAAGCACTAAATAGTGTGACAAATTACAGAGACAAAGGCAAAAATACTAATAAGCAATAGTGTTGTGCTTGCCCCTGTTTGGGTTTGGCATTTCAGGCTTAACATTCTCCCCTGTGGACACAGGGACTGCTTTTCAGAAGCCAGAGAACAGAGGAAAGGACCAGGAGTGAGAAAAGAAAGTGAGCCTGACCCAGAATCATAGATTTTAACATCCCCAAACTTCAGACTCCAGATGGACTTTGCAGTTCATTCCAAAATGGGTCAGAACAAAATCTTGGATCCATTCACTTCTTAGCAAAGTGATTCTTAAAGTGTATTTCAATGCAAAATCTGTAAGTTGGGCCATTTTTTTCTAGAAACATACACAAAACCTGTACATTCACCACTATAAAAAAAATACATGAAAAGTGCTGAGGTTGTACAGCTGGGAAATGACATAATTAAACTGTGCAATTTTGTTATAGCCTTGAATGACATGATGAAATATTCATTATTCTACAGGACCCTGCACTTACAGTGCACTGCACAGATGATGTGAACACTCATGAACAATTATTCAGAAAATAAACAGGAAAATTCAGTGAGAAAGGAAAAGTCTGGTTGTTCTTTGGAAAGTAGATGTGTTAGTTTGCTCATTGCCCACTAGTTTGTTGTGAACTGTAGTTTGTGGCATGTTGTGAGTAGGAGAGAGGCATAGAGGAAGCTTCCTGCCTGTGATCCATCCTATGGAACCATTTACCAAACGTGTGTGGAAAGAAGACCTGACTTAAACAAAAGGGTTGAAAAGCCAAGCAGCCAGCAGACAGGAGAGCCACTGAGCAGGCAAAAGGAAACAGGGGAGCTGGCATGGAACTTCTTTTAGAAAGTGATCTCATAGACAGCATTTACAGGTGATACAGATAAGGAACAGAGTGCAACATGAGGGGAGAATGAATTACAGCAAGAGTTTGGATAGGAGAAGAGAGCAGAAAAAAACAGCTCACACAGAACACACGAGAAAGGGGATCAATGGATGTAAGTGGCCACTGCAGAAAACTGGGCAATGCAGAAGAAACTGAGCAGTGGAAGACACCTGCTACATTTAAGCTTGAGGTGAAATAAGGGTGGGTGAGGTGGCTGCAAATAATAAGACAAAACAATTTGTTCTGTTAGAGAGGAAGAGATAGGAGAGGGAGCCAGAGACTAAAGTCCAGGAAGGAACAAGAATGAAATACAGGAAACTGTCAGATAAAATAGGAAATGGGATATCTGCTTAGGAAGAGAGAATGTGAGAGTCACACTCAACACCAGCATGAAGAGGCATGTCCCTGACTTGTTATTCACTGCTGAAATAAGGCTGCATTTCTCTCACAGAAGTGTATCCAAAAAAACTAGAAAATTTTGTTCTCTACCAAATGCAAGACCTCAGGATGCACTGAATCTCACTGAAACATAAGGATTAGCACACCAAGGTAACAAAATAACCAGAGCAGTAAAGATTCAGGGAGACTACACTGATATTTTTCTATGCCCTAAAAAGCAGGGTCAGAATTATGAGGAAATTATGATTAAGGAGAAGATTGTCAGGAAGCAGCAAGCACCAGTTTCTCTTTAAGTGTTGAAAAGGTACAAGCTGAGGGTTATCACAGCACAGGCTGTGCCCTTACTGAGGGGGCACCATCCTGAGCACAGTGGGCAGAGCAGGGAGCTGTTACCACAGTAGCAACAAAGGGATGGACCAGGGCAATACAGGAGCAATGGGAGACAGGCCCAGAAAGAAGCTCCCAATGTGGATTCAAAGTGCATTCAGAGGGCAGAAGGAGAGATAAGCTACAGCACATGCCAGTGGGGTCCACCATGAGGGAAGGTACCTACAGCATTGACCCAAGGTCCATCCAGAAGCCAGAGGCACACACAGGCACACCCACAGCACACTCAAACAGAGACTAACAGCCCAGGGCTGAGCTTAAATAGAGCTCCCAGGCCAATGGACAGAGAGGATGGGTAAGAGTCCCAGGTGGGGCTGGTCAGGGCTGTTAAAGTTCAATTAGTGCCTTCAGAATACTAATACTAATGATACTTGAATTGCCACTGGATTAATGTCATTGGAAGCTTTAGGATATCTGACTGCTAGGAGGCATCTGAGGAAAAAAAAGTACTTCAGCTTTCTGGATTTGGAGCTGGAAATCCAGGTGGAGGAAGCTTGAAAGCAAGTTGTGAGCAACAGAGGCTTACACAAGGTTCATGCCATCAGTTAGGAAACTAGCCAGCTTTCAGCTAAAGCCTGAGTAGTTTATGGCACTGATTTATGTGAATGCATATAAATATATTGGTACAGCAGGAGAAAAAATTGAAATTCAGGGGATTTCTGTCTCACATCTCTCATATTTCATTTCACTGATCCTTAGATACTAAAATATTTAGGCCTGTAGAAGCTGATATACTTGCAGTTAGAGGATATTATTAGTCCAGGAAAGGAACTCAAATGTTTTGTTATACTCAATCACCATCATATTGGCTTTAATGGCCATCTTAAAGCTCTGCTTTTGTGTTTTGATATAGCAGCTAAGTTCTTAGGCTGTGGTTTCATGATGCAAAGTTTTTGGGGGCAGTCTCAATTTGAGACATTTCTGCTTTCCTTACTACTTTTTTCTGTACTATCACCTGCATGACACCCTGAGTCAAGTGTAAATTGGTGTGTGAAACCAAACCATGTTTAAAAAAAAACTAAACCATGTTTTTTTCCCTTGGCACTAGTATTTTTAATCTGGATTAATTCCTTCATCTGCCTCACAGTACAGCCGTGCTGTTACAAGTCTGGTGTTGCTGCCAAAGGCTTTGATTTTTACATCTACGACCTGAGCAGCTTTGAATCAGGACATAGAGGAGGTTATAGTTTCATGGATTTTAATGCCAGGATGATCAGTTTGAACCTCCTATACTAAACCATGAATTTCATCCAGTAGTTCTTCCATGAAGCTCTGTAACTTCTGGTTGATTTATAGCAAATAGAGTAGGATCACATCCTGTTTTCACACAACGGGTCCAAGAAATTACATGATTTTTATTCACTTTTGGCTCCACAGAGTTGCTTCACCTGAATTCTGATCCACAGCTGAGAAAGTGAGTGAAAGTTTTCCACCTGTTTGTCCTGCAATTTTTAAATTTTTCTAAACTCCTTGTATAACACCTTTAATAAGGTATATATACAAATAACATATGTCTAAACAGCTTTATATAATATCTGAAGCCTCTTGCTTTTTCTCTGGCAACTTAGTTTCTTTACCCATTATCCTTTCAGTAAATTCAGTTGTGCTCTTTCTCCTGGGCTATTCTCAGTCTATTTGGTGGGGGGTTTTTTCCTAATCAATGCAGGTTAAATTTGGAAGTATTGCAGGTCAGAGCAACTGTTGCTGATTCAGAGAAAATGTTTGTCTTTGGACTCTGTATTCTCTCTGTAACGTCGCCAGAGAAATTTTGGTTACAGCAGTTTGCAATGACATCAGAGGCTTATAGTACCTGCTTGTAGTAAAATGAGAAGATCTGGGACCCTTGTGGCAATGCCACCTCAGCCCATACAGGTTTTGAACTCCACAGCAGTGAATAAGTGAATGAGCTGCCCCTGGTTCCAAATTCATTGAAGAGACAATGGTGGAGGAAAATTAGTGATAGTGTTCAGCTGAATATTCAAACTGGCACCACTAAGACCTTTTTGAACAGTAACAGACGACCAGGATAAACAGACCAGAAGAGGTATAAAAATCATGCTTCCTGTGAGGGGATATA